ATGGGGCTATACGGTTTTAGGACCATAGGGCTAGGACTATAGGGCTATAGGGCTATAGGGCTATTAGGCCTATAGGGCTATAGGGCTACAAGGCAATAAGGCTATAGGACTATAGGCTTATGAGGGCTATAGATTTATAGGACTATAGGGAATAAGGACTATAGGGCTATAGGGCTATAGGGCTATAGGGCTATTAGGCCTATAGGGCTATAGGGCTATAGGGCTATAGGTCTATTAGGTCTATAGGGCGATAGAGCACCGGGGCACCCCGGGGCACCCGGGCACCCCGGGGCACCTCCGGGCACCCCGGGCCACCTCCGGGCACCCCTGGGCACCTCCAGGCACCCCCGGGCACCCGGGCGTGCGGCGAAAATCGGCGGCAAACCTAACCTAACCATATGAATCCGCTAGGACACCCACAGAGGCAAGCTCTGATTGGGGAAACTTTTGGTGCTCCGCGCGATTTTCTTGGATCTGCGCTGGACCCCCCTGCCTGGCGCGCGGAGCGCCAGGGGCGGCCCAGAGGAGCCGCCAGGGGGGGCCCAGCGCGGATCCAAAAACGCCCCGCGGAGCGCCAAAAGTCCATATTTGCGCCGATTCTTCTTCGAGGGAAGGGAGGGAAGGAGGGGAGGAGCGAGAGGCGGAGCAGGGAGGGGGAACGAGGGATGGCGCCACCAGGAGGCCGGCCGAGGCCTGGATGTCGAAGGCGTACAGGTGCACCGCGGGGGACCCGGCGCCGCGCCAGCCGCACTTGTCCGGGCCGCACGCGTGGCGGTTCTGGCCGCGGGGCGGGGGGGAAGTGCTGAGCCGGACCGACCGTCCTGGCATTCCTATCGGCCTACCACGAGACGTTCTGACCCAAAAGCGAAAAGAATGTCCTTCGAGCTTGGACCCGATGTGCTAAAACAAAACCGTCTCCGCCAGGAATGTTCTAAGAACATCTCGTGCAGACCACAAAAGGTTCTTAGAGCATTCTTTGGTGGGCCTATAGGCGAGCCAGGACGCTTCGCTACTACTTGAAAGAGGGGCGGCGGGTTGGCCGAGCGGGGAGGCCAATTCAGCGAAGACGCCGCCGCGGCCGACGACGACGACGACGCCGACGCAGACGCCGACGCCGCCGACGCCGCCGACGACGACGACGACCTTGGCGGCAGAGGCGCTGGAGGGGGCCCGCAGAACGCACGACGGGGGCGGCGGCAGCTTCGTGCCTGCGCATCCACGGTACCTCCTGCCGCTACATCTGTTCGCCGCCACTCAGCGGGAGCTGCCAGCCAAAATGAGTCTTGTCCACCTGCCGCCGCGTCGAAGGACGTTTCAGTATGAGCACGTTCGCTCAAAATTTTCGCTGGTAGACCGCCGCCTGAAACCTGGGGGAGTGTTCAGTATTATGTTGAATTCCCCTGCTCGTCGTCCAACCTCGCGTGCACGCGTTGATGCGCAAGCACGCACACCGCATCTTCAACGTGTACGGTACCGCGCGGAACTGGACTCATTTATGCCGAGGCCTGGGCTGAACAAGCACAGCAGAGAATAGCATGATGTAACCTTTCGCGCCCTGCAGCGGGAGTCCCTCGTCCCACCCGAGGCGTTTCGATGAGAAGCGACGGGAGCTCCGATGCCGCTGGCGTGCTGCCCGGTCCAGGGCCACATCAGCGTCGCGAGCTGATGTCTGCTCTCTGCTCTCTAGAAGAAGATCGACTGGGTAAGTATGCGCTAGGAAATGCCCACGCGGATGTCTCGCACCCGGAGGCGCCGCCAGCGGGGTCCAGCGCAGATCCAGGAATTCAAGACGCAACCTCGGGAGGCACGAGGGCCTGCGGGGAGGCGGGGCGCCCGGAGCGCCGCCCGGCCGGACCGCCGGCTCTGGAGGCCACCGCGACGTCGGAGGGTCCGAGGCCGCACGAGGGCCGCGAGGCGGAGGGCCCGCGACGCCCAGGGCGCCGCAGCCGCCGCCGCCGCCGTGGTCGACGTCGTCGGCGCGCGCCGCGAGGGCCCCTTGAGCGGCAGCGCCGCCACAGCCTGGACGCAGCCCGAATGCCCGTTCCGTGACGAACCCTCCTGGCGTTGAGCGAAGATCGTTAACGCCGTCGCCGTCGTCATCGCCGTCGCCGCCACCGTGGCCGCCGCCGCCGCCGGCGCCATCGACGTCGTCGTCGTCGGCTTGGGCGTCGTCGCCAGCGACGTCGCCGTGGTCGCGGCCGCGGCTCGCCGTCGTCCTGGGCGCCGTCGTCCCCAGACATTCGACGTCTTGAGTTTCTCAGTGCGGGATCTTCAGAGGTCTCGACCTTTTCTTCCCCAATGCCCGCTCTTCATCTCGACGTTGTTTGACGGTCCCGGGGCCAGGCGAGGGCCCCCTGAGGTCCCAAACTACGAAAAACATCCACATTGGGTTTCTCGAGAGGTTGGAGAGGGGGTCGGCGTTGTCGGCGTCGTCGTCCTGGGGGCGCCGCCGCCGTCGTCGTCGGCGGCGCCGGCGACGGCGGCGGCGGCGGCGGCGCTGGCGTCGGCTTCGTTAGCCTGCCCCCGACGGCGAGCGGTGCGCAGGGACGCCGGCGGACGCGAAGGGCCGGTCCTGCGCGAGGCAGGCAGACGCGCCCAGCTCCGCCCTGGCCTCGCGCAGCACCCGGGCGGGGTCGCGGATCCTCGGCGGCGGCCGCCTCCGCCGTGGCCGTGGCCGTGGCCGTGGCCGCCGCCACGCCACCGTCGTCGGGCCCAGTTCTCCGACGAGCAGATGGTGTGACAATCTGGGCAGTGTTCCTTGACTCCAGCCACCAAGGGCCCGTGGTCGGACCCCGGCGGGGGCACCAACAGTAGAGCCTGGACGCTGAACTGCCGCCGGGGGGTGGGCCCGGAGCTCTGGGGGCGCGGATAGAAACACAACGTGTCGGAGGATGTCTGGTCGGGGCGGGGAGGCACCAGGAGGCCCCCAGAGGCCCCCAGCGGGGAGGGGGAAGATCCCCCTTTTCTTCCCCCGCGGGGAAGAGAGAGAGCGACTGAGAGAGTGACAGACAAGGAGGGAATGCCAGTTGGATTCCTCTGCTGAACGTTTTTCATCAAAAGATCAGTCGGCTCTTTCCGTCTTGGCTCCGCTTCTTTGTCGAAGGAGGCACTCCTGGTATCAAATTCGACAGCTGCGGCTGGACAGCCTGGCCATGCACTGATCCAAATTCCACTTCCCCACTTTTCCAAGCGGGCGACACTCTACAGTAGGGGCCCGACCACAAGAAACCTTCCACAAGAAACCCAACCCTGAGACCCCAGGACGTCCATTGATTCTTGGTGGGAACGTCACACCTTCCGTGGCAAAACCATCGAAACCCAAGAAACCGAGGGCACCCTGGAGGCAAGCAGGGCGTTTCTTGGCATGGGCCTCCACTGTACCGCCAGATTGCGCAGGGGTCCGCCCTCCCCAAAACCACAGCTGCTGCAGTGAAAGGTCCGAATACCCGAGAGGGCCACTATGTCGTGTCTGTGATGAGGCGTCTTGCGTCTTGCCTCCAGCTTGCAACCGCTGGTGAGCAGCAGGAACAGGGCCCGCGGGCTCGAGCGAGGCGGCAAGCACAGAGAGGGGCCGGCAGGGGCGAAGAGCTCACCACAGAGGCCCTCCCACCAGCACGACCCCGGCAGACCGTGCACTTGGCTTTGACCCCCTGCTTCCCCGACCTCGCGATCCGCGGACAGTGGGCACGTGCGGCAGCTGCTTTCTGGAAAAAACACCAGGCTTCGGCGCCTGGGCTGGCTGAGACAGGGTGGGTAACTTATCAACCCGGGCACTGGCCTGGCCATCTTTCTGGAGCACGCCCTCGACCACCGTGCACGATCGCTTCCTGACTCCAGCCGCTATCCTCTCGATGTCCTGGACGGCAGCTGTCTGGTGGGGGGTCAATGGAACCCTGACTGCAGCTTCTTGGGCCTCTGCAGACCAGCTGATTGGCTTCGAGCCAAAGCTTGGGGAGATCAGCAGCTCGGGCATCGGTGCCGATGGCGTCGCTCTAGACCTTCTCGGAGCACAGTCGGCGCCGCCCTCGGGCCACCAAGAAAAACTCGTTCAGAGGTCCCTGCTCGTTCTGGGCTTGCTTATGTCAGGCATACTCGCTCCACGAACCACGGACGCCGAATTCGACATACATATATATATATATATATATAGAATGAAGCTGGGACCTCTCCTGCGTGACCTCGGGTTGCCCCGATCTGGTCCCGGACAGATTCGGAGCACCACGATGCAAGGCGTGCAGAAGACGAGGCACAACGGCAAAGGCGGGAGTCTTCCGAGTGGGCAACTCCAGACCCGTCCCCCGCCCCAAAAAATCCCACCAGCCCTCTGGGCGTAGGTGGTTTAGCAAATTGTGTCTCCCCTGGGCCTGAGAGTGCAATTCACAGCCCCGAGCCTGCCTCACTAGAGCCTACTTACGACAGATGGCCTCTAGAGGCCGTGCGTGATATAAGCTTCAGGCTCCAAAGGAGCCCCATGTATGTTAGCCAAGCGTTTCACGGCGAATCGGGCCCCCTTTAGCCTCCAGGTTGCAGCCAGCCTTGCTTAGTAGGCCCTCCGAGATCCTCCGAGATCCCCATTATAATATCCCAGAACAGGTTCATCCGAAACCGTTCTGGCTCAAGCCTTTGCAGCGTCTCAGCGACGCTGGACTTCTGGTGTGCGTCCGAGAGACGCAGGACAGCGAACTGCCCGCTGATAAACAGATCCTGTTCATCACCACAGTGCGATCAGCATCGCACAGTCACTGCCCTCATATTCGACCCGACCGCCAACGGTACCCTCGACACGTTGTCAGAGCAGAGAAGAGAGTAGCATCATCAAGGATTGCTATCAGGGCAGTGGTTCTAAGCGGGACCATTGCATGGTAGCGGAGCTATCAAGCTCCACGGACTACAGATTCACGGATAGAAGTTCATCGTTTGAGTCATGACGAAGAACAACAATAACAACGATGACATCATGCCGAAGTGGAACGGAGATCTCACCACGGTGGACGATTACGAGAGAGACGTCAAAGCTTACATCCGAGGAACCCGTCGAGATGAACGATATGTATGCGGCCCTCGTTTGTGGAGACGACTGGAAGGTCGAGCACGACAAGCAGCCAAGGATGTGGACTGGGACCGCATTGAGAGAGACGACGGTGCAGCTGAGCTACTGCGACACATTCGTGCCAAGCTCGGTGCTCAGCCCATCCAGGATGCAGGCAAATATCTGGCCCGATGGATCTTCGATCTTTGTCGAGACACTGGAGAGCCAATGCCGAGCTACATAAGCAGAGACGATGAGGCCTACCACGACGTGGTCAAGGGTTTCGACACCGAGTATTTCAAGAAGCAGCGCACGGCTCGGCTGTCGGAAAGGTCAAAGGAATGGAACACCCTCTACTCGGAGCTCACCTGGTTCTTGTACAAGATCGAGCAGGAGGGCCCGGAGGACGCCGCCGACAAGGCCAAGGAGTTGAACCACCAGCTCTGGAACTTCATCAGGACAGGACTTGAGGAGATCCCCGAGCATCCGGATTTCGGAACCGACTTCAAACAGGCGATTCCTCTTGACCAGCTGCGCGGATGGCTACTGCTGCAGAGATCAAGACTTTCCCCGACGGAGCGTGCGGCAGTTATCAGCGCAGTCAAAGGCAACTTCGACTACGACAGCATCGGCGAGCAGCTAAGAGTATCTTGGCCAGATGACGAGCTGACGAACAGAGATAAGAAGCACGGCAAGGACAACCATCGCCATCGCGAGCGAGGTCGGATCATGCCGGCTGGGAGGAGAACAGCGAGGACGACGACGACTACAGCTACTACGATGGCGACCAGTCGGAGGCCACCTATGAGGACGCGGACGGCGACGAGGACGAAGGAGATCCCGAGGAGCCGCTCTACAGCGCCCAGGAGATCGAGGAGGCCGAGACCGCGTTCGCCGCCCAGCAGCGCAGTTTCGAAGAAGCTCGAGATCTACTCCGACGAGTGAAGACCGCCAGGAAGTTCTACCCCGTGGATGAGAACAAGAAGCGAGAAGGACGCGGAGGACAGCGCAAGTTCCAGGGACCTCGAGCTGGATCCCGAGGCTCTGGATCATCGAAAGGACGAGGCCGAGGGAGCGGACAACGACGCGATGTACCACCCCGACGTGATGGAGATCGCTCCCAGGGCCGGCCGCCCCGTAAGGGACCCTGTCTGAAGTGCGGCGGCAATCACGAGACTAAGGATCACAAAGACCGCGCTTCCTCCACCAGCAGCAAAGATCGTGAACGACCTAAGCGAGGTTTCGGAGCCTACGTGTTCTTCGGCGCCGAGCAGGACGCCGAGATGGAGGCGAATCTCATCAGGAACGAGACCTCGCGCCTGGAGCTGGAGACGACGCTCAACAATAAGCCAGTGATCAAGAATCGACCGAAGCTTCCGAAGAAACAGCTCGAGAAGACGATGTACCTAGAGGTGGAGAAATCCATCGAGAGGCGGGAGCAAGTCCATCATGTGAAACTACCGAGCTGGCCAACCCTGGAGAAGCTAGACGACTGGATCCTCATGAGTGTGAAGCAGAGCTCCTCCAAGGGCTTCGGTATTCTGGACATCGGCGCGACCTCCAGCATCATGGGCATCGAGGCTGCCGAGAACCTACGCGATATCATCTATGAGCAGACGGGCAAAAACATCAAGATGGACGTTAGCCAGAAGAGTACCTTTATCTTTGGAGATGGCAACGCCAAGACCTGCACCGGCAAGGCAACCTTTCCTCTGATGATCGCCGGTGTGGATGGCGAGCTCGAGATAAACATCCTCGACGCAGATGCCCCGCTCTTGATCGGAGTGGATGTTTTGAGCCGCCTAGGAGCTGTGATCGACTGCGAGGCACATTCTGTCTACTTCAAGAAGCTCGGGCGCCGAGCTGAACTGCTCGTCCTTCCGAGCGGTCATCTTGCACTGCCACTTGTTCGACAAGCCGATTTTGGCTTCGTGGCATCTCTCGAGTAGGGGTCCACGCCCTCGACACCCGAGACTGCTACGGTGCCGGAGGGAAAACATGAAAAAGAGCAGCCGATCAAAAGCGAGAACGATAAACCGTCTGCAGTGGTGCCCCAGGAGTTCCCCGACGAGGTCCCAGATAATGGAGCCCTACAGGCCTCAGGTACATCATCATCATTTACGAGTACGGGGGCACCATCACCAATTACGCCTACAGCAACATCATCATCATTTACAAGTACGGGGACATCATCAATTACGTCGGGGACATCATCACTTACGTCGGGGACATCATCACTTACGTCAGGGACATCATCCGTATCAGCCCCGGCTCCATCACCTACGGCATTATCGGAGTTATCTCCAGAGGCCTTCCCTGAGATCCCAGAGTTTCCAGAGCTCCAAACAGAAACATCCCCGTCTCCAAGAGCCATTTTTGGTGCGAACGATTCGAGCTCAGAGCTCCGATTTTAGCAACCAGTAATTCTTCCATATTCGAGCCCTGAGCTCCGACAACATCCAGTTGGTCCTACATATTCGCATGAGCCTCAACCGCGAGGCGAAATGTCGCAAAGCAGAGAGCCAGCAGATCAAGCTGGAGAACGAGGAGATGGATGGCCCATGGGAGCAGGTGGATGTTCGGGCCCCGCTACTGGACTCGGGATCATCGGCGGCGACCTTCACGTCGACGCCGGCACGGCCTACACTACAACGGATGCAGCCGCAGGGGCGACTGATCGCTCATCAGGACGTGAGGGGTCACATCTTCTACACGATCGAGGGCTCGGAGCTGGACAACAGCATGAAGCGGATGACGGACACCTTCCTGCAGGAGCACCTACCGAACTGGGAGATGTGGTCCAGCAAGCTCCTCCAGCAGTGGACGCAGTGCCGTCGCTGGGGACGAATCATCCAGAAGGTCTTCAACAAGACGATCGACCGTGTGAACTGGAAGCTGGACAGCCTCGGACTACCTGTGCAGTTGCTACCCGAGAGGTACCCGACCTGGCCGGCGGACATCGAGCATCGTGCGAAGATCGAGCCGCGCCAGCCGTGCACGGAGCCGAAGCAGCGCCCCCTGTCTCAGAAGTCAGCAGCCTCAGCAGCCGCGCGCGAGCAGAATCAAGAGCTACGAGCCACCATCGAGACCGCAAAGTTAGATTTCTTGACCAAGTTTGCGGAGGTGGATGCGTTTGCAGCGCTGAGCTCGGAGCAGATCCACGAGCAGCTCAGCATGGTCACGTTGGTCAACCATCTCAAGCCGCTGTGCAAGATGTGGGGACTGACCCAGACTGGCAAGAAGGAGGAGGTGATCGACAAGATCATCGCGTACATCATCGAGCAGCGCGGCACGGCGGCAGCGACTATCAAGATCAAGAAGGAGACGGAGACCAAGAAGATGGAGACGACGGCCATGCCCGTGGGCCCGGCGATCTCAGCTCACTACACTCAGATGTGCCAGCACCCGGACTGCAAGCTACGCCGATGCATCGCCAAGAACGAGCCGATCGTGAAGATGAGGCTCTACGGTTGGTGCCACCAGGCGTGTGCGGTCAGGACGAAGGCCTGAGTGAGATTCAGGCCGAGAGGTCTCGGTGGCGCGGCGACGAGAGCAGGCCGCTGAAGGGCCACCAGCGCCAGGCGATACGGGCAGCTACACATACGACGAGGTCGGCCATTTTCGGAGCTATGTGCGCCCTCGCAACCTTCGGCCGCCTGACGATGGTCGAAGCGTGCACCCACGAGGACTCGAATCTCGGGAAGGTGTGCGACGAGAAGGGCTACCACTACGAGCGGCTCGGCCTCTTCAACGAGAACGACCTCAGCAAGCCGCAGGGCTACCACAAGGCGAAGTTCCTGCTAGACGAGAAGCGCCCGGAGCTCTTCGTCAGTACACCACCCTGCGGTCCATGGTCGATAATGCAGAACGTCAACCAGCGCAACGATCAACAGAAGGAGAACCTTCGCAGGAAGCGGCTCAAGAGCCAGCGGATCTTCGAGAACAACAAGAGGCTCATCGAGCACCAGGTGCTCAACCTGAACGGCTCGGCCCTCGCCGAGCAGCCCCACAACAGTCGGTCGTGGCAGAAGACCTGCTGGAAGGATCTCCACAAGATCCTACCGTACGAGGTGATCGTGGATGGCTGCGCCTGCGGACTACGAGCCCCTGACACGGGCGAGCTCATGAAGAAGCGCTGGAAGTTCCTGACGAATGACAGGATCTGGGTAGCCCTACAACCTCTACAGTGCCGTGGAGGACACTACCACGAGGAGATAGAGAGTAGCTTGAGGACCGAGGCCTCGGGCTCCTACCCCAAGATGCTGTGCCGCCGGATCCTCAGGGCTCTGACCAAGAGCCAGAACCAGAACTACTTCGAGGACGAGGTTGTGAACTGCCTCTGCATGGCAGCTACCCAGCAGCCACCGACAGAGCCTACGCCAGAGGAGGACGAGCCGACTCTTCCACCACGAGACGGCAAGGAAGCGCACAACCTCACCAACGAGACGGTCAAGAAGCTCGAGAGCTACATCAGATTGGTCCATACCAACCTCGGACACCTACCTCGAGCTCATCTACTGCGATACCTTCGCGACCGTGGCGCTCGACCAGAGGTGCTACGTCTGGCCAGAACCTTCAAGTGCGACATCTGTGACGCACATCGACCACCTACTAAGCGGCCACCAGCCTCATCAGCAGAGCAGCCCCAAAACGGTCACGAGGTGCTTTTTGACGCTTTCTCGTGGATCCGTCGCAGCACGAACACGAACGTGATGGCGCTGGCGATACTCGACGCCGGCTCGGACATCCTCTACGTGCGGCTGATCGACGAGAAGCCGATCCCGGGTACGACTCGACAAGTTCGTGCCGGCGACCTTCGGCATATCTTTGCTACTAAATGGTTCCCCTGGATGGGACGCCCGAAGGTCATGCGCTACGACCCTGCCGGCAGCGCCATCTCCGACGAGTTCCGCGAGTAGATCGAGAGCCAGGGAGTCTACTGTCTCCCATGCGTGGCCGACGCCCACTGGCAGATCGGCAAGATCGAGCGCGCCATTGAAGCCTTCAAGGAGGCCCTCGACGCTTTCGACGAGATGGTCTCAGCCGAAGTACCCACCAGCGAGATGCTCGGACTCCAGACAGCGGCCAGGAACGACCTGATCAGGATCGACGGGTTCAGCCCGCTGCAGCGCTATGCGGGACGGACGCCGACTGGGACGACAGTCAACCTGTCGGACGAGCCGAACAACCTGCCGCTCATCAGTGCCGAGCTGCAGGACGGCACCTTCAGCAGGGACGCCCAGGTACGACGGATGGCGCGGCTGGCTCACATCCAGACCGAGAACTCTGACCGAGTTAAGCGAGCGGAGGCCGCGCGCTTCAGGTCCTTCAAGAGGTACGAGACGGGCGATCTGGTTTTCGTCTACAGACGGCTCCCACCAGGGGCCTGGCGCAAGAAGGGACAGCCTCGCTCAATGCCTGGGCGAGGACGCTGGTACGGACCTGGACGAGTACTTTGTCACGAGCCAGCGAGCTCGGGACACCGACCTGGTCTACCTGGGACGGTGGTCAATATCACACTGGCTGGCCGCCTCTACCGAGTTGCTCCCGAACAACTTCGACCTGCCACGCCCTCTGAGGAGGCGATGGACTCCCTACGCTCGCGCCGCGAGCAGCCGGGGACCTGGACCTTCGGCGATGTCCAGAAGCAGCTCGACACTAACGAGGTGATCGACTTGTCGAACGAGTCCCCGCCCACTGGCGAGGATTTGGCCGCTGATGACGGTGAATCGGTCAGCGCCCGCACCTTCGAGAGCAACGCGAGCGGACCCTGGGCCCTTTCTGAGGACGATGATCTTCCTGTTCCACAAGGAGACCCTCGTAGTCTTGACCCAGGAGGCGGCGGAGGTGGTGGAGCCTTGGCGGCGCCACCAGGACTGGAAGAGCGACCTCTACCTGGACCGCGACCTCCCAGACGTATGCGGAAGAAGGGTAATCCCTGGAACGAGGCGACCGAGGTCCAGGAACCTCTCATCCAGCCAGCTCAGCCAGAAGTTCCACCAGGCATTCCACAGGAAGACGGCCACGAAGCTGGACTACCCGAAGAAGCTGAGCAGCCCATCGAGGAGGAGATCGTCATGGAAGCCCCTCCCGGCGACGACCAGGAGGAGCGCGCGTCGCAGCGGCCCATCGTGGCGGAGACTGACGATGACCTCGACGATATCTCAGCGCCCGACGTGAACGATAAGCGCCGGATCCGAGAGCCCGGCACAACCGAGCCCCCGGCTAAGAAGCAGCGGGTCAACGCTGCGACCCAGGAGGCCTTCTCCTACTACCTGCAAGAGGGTAACTTCTACAGCGACTATGCCTACAGTGTCCAGCAGTACGACGATATGAAGGAGAACGACGAACTCATCGTGCTGGACATCCCTGTCAGCAACGAGCATGCGTTCATGGCCTACATGGACGACCCCAGCAACTTCGTGGCATCGCAGGCCCGCAAGGGCCGGGTGGAGGTTTCATTTAAGAAGGCGACGCCTGAGGAGAAGAAGCTGCTACTCGAGGCCCAGCAGAAGGAGTGCACCTCAGTCCTCAGCACGAAGGCCGTCAGAATCCTCAGCCGACAGGGGATCGACCCGGCGCGCCTGCTGCGCTGCCGCTTCGTGCTGACCTGGAAGAAGGATGACCAGGGGAACGTGCTACGAGGCAAAGCCAGACTGGTCGTGCTCGGTTTCAGCGACCCCGACCTGCTGCACCTGCGGACAGAATCACCAGTTGCCTCCAGACGTGCACGTCAACTTCTACTGGCCATGGCAGCCAGACACAAGTGGAAACTGGAGAAGGCCGATGCAGTGACAGCCTTTCTCCAGGGCGAGACGGACGAGGAGAAGAGGAAGATCTACGCGGACCCGCCTAAGGACGTGCGTCAGGCCTTCGGCATGAAAGACGACGAGGTCCTGCAGTTCCTCAAGCCTATGTACGGATTTGTACATGCTCCTCGCAAATGGTGGCTCCATTTCAAGGACACGCTCAAGACGCTGCAGCTGGAGGTGATACAGTGCGAGCCGTGCGTCTGGGTCATTCGAGACGGCACGAAGCTGGTCGGCATGGTTATCCTACACGTCGACGACATGATGATCGCCGGCGACCATCACAACTCGGCCTTCCTCAAGAAACGACAGGAGATACAACAGGCCTTCGAGTGGACACCTTGGGAGAGCCGAGCGTTTGTGCAGTGCGGCATCAGTATTCGACAGAATGAGGACTACACCTGCAGTCTCGCACAGGACAGCTACAGCCTGAACGTGGAGCCCATCAAGATACGACGTGGACGCAAGCCCACGGAAGGAGTTTCAGACAAAGAGAGATCAGATCTACGAGGCCGACTTGGTACAGTCGGATGGCGAGCTCAGCAGTCGGCCCCGTGGCTCAGTGCAGAAGTCTCTCTACTTCAAGCGGAGATACCTACGGCGACGGTCTCTACCATCCAGAAGATCAACAAGCTGATCCGCACCATGAATGACACTGCCGACGTGGTCATGCTCATCCCGGCCATCGAGCAGATCGCTGTGGTTGGCTGGGGCGATGCTGCCTGGGCCGCTCGTATCACTGGCGAGTCCCAGGGTGGCGAGATGATCGTGCTGGCACCACTGTCTTTCCTGAGTGGCTCGACAGAGACGGTAGCGCCTATCTCATGGAGATCATGCAAACTACCGCGAGTGGCCAGAAGCAGTACGAGTGCGGAGGTTCAGATGATGACAGAGACCCTCGACGAGATCAGCTACGTGCGCCTGTTCATCTACGAGCTGGAGTGCGGCCAAGTGGACTACACCAACAAGCAACACGTGAACGACGCCATCTCATCCTGCCCTGGCGTACTGGTCACAGACGGTAAGTCGGGCTACGACGCGATCGAGAAGAGCGAGTCAGCTGGTCTCGGCCTACGCGATAAGCGGACGAGCATCGAGTGTCTAGGCATTCGACAGCAGAAGGAGCAGACGGCCCTCCAGATACGCTGGGTCCACAGCGATGCCATGCTAGCTGACGGCCTCACCAAGGATCGAGCCGCCAAGGTCTTGCTGGAGTTCTTCCGGTCAGGTCAGCGCTGGAGACTCGTGGACGACCCCCTGCACCGCAGTGCTAGGAAGCGCAAGACCGAGGGCATGGACAGGCTGGACCACGGCAAGCCGTTATCAGCAGATGACGATGAAGCTATGCTGGAGGCCCTGATCTACTTCGCTCGCGACAATCCCTACGAGCAGGAGACCCCTGCCGGAGATATAGCCCTTTGGGGCACTGTGAAGCCTCTCACGCGCTCTGTGCTTTCTGTGAATTCAGTTGCCAGAGGCAGGTCTCGATGCCGTAACATCGATCTTTAGCTTTTGGGCATGCAATTCACAGCCCCGAGCCTGCCTCACTAGAGCCTACTTACGACAGATGGCCTCTAGAGGCCGTGCGTGATATAAGCTTCAGGCTCCAAAGGAGCCCCATGTATGTTAGCCAAGCGTTTCCCGGCGAATCGGGCCCCCTTTAGCCTCCAGGTTGCAGCCAGCCTTGCTTAGTAGGCCCTCCGAGATCCTCCGAGATCCCCATTATAATATCCCAGAACAGGTTCATCCGAAACCGTTCTGGCTCAAGCCTTTGCAGCGTCTCAGCGACGCTGGACTTCTGGTGTGCGTCCGAGAGACGCAGGACAGCGAACTGCCCGCTGATAAACAGATCCTGTTCATCACCACAGTGCGATCAGCATCGCACAGTCACTGCCCTCATATTCGACCCGACCGCCAACGGTACCCTCGACACGTTGTCAGAGCAGAGAAGAGAGTAGCATCATCAAGGATTGCTATCAGGGCAGTGGTTCTAAGCGGGACCATTGCAGAGAGGGGGGGGCGGGCGCGGGTAGTTAGAGCGCCCAAGATGGCCAAAGATGGCTTAAAGAGGGCCTCAGAGAACCCAAGCTGGCCTCCAAGATGGCTCAAGACAATTACATCAAAATGGTTCAAGGTAGCCTCCGGCACACAACATCCAAGAGGCCTCAAGACGGCCCCAGGACGGTTTCACGTGCCCTCCGAGCCCTAAGGACCCCCGCAAGAGGCCAACATCCTTCAAACACTTAGGGAAGGTCCATGTTTTCTGCCTTCTCGCCTTTTCGCTTCCGACGGGTTCGTGAGGCCTCAAGATGGCCTCAGGACGGCCCAAGAAAGCCCCGAGAGGGGGGCCAAATAGGTACCAAAAACACCCAAGAGCGCCTTCTGTTTGAGCCATGGGGCCCAAGACGGCCCCGAGAGGCCCTGCAGAACCCCCCCGACCCCCAAAGAGCCTCCACAGGGCGAGCCCCAAGAGGGCCCGAAGAGTGCTCCGAGTGGCTCCGCGAGGACCCCAAGAGAGACCCAACACGGCTTCCAGAGACCTCCGAGAGAACACTTCCAAGGCGGCCGTTGCAACGCGTGCTTCTGCACTTCACTGATCAAGGCAACTCGCCTGGCGAGCTGTTTCTGGATGGGCTGGTGGGGAGTTGTTTCCGTCGCAGCCGCAGGCGAAGGCGCCGGCGGCGTCACAAGTCAGCTCGGGCTACGAGCAGAACTAAGCTGGTGGGGATACTCTTTGTCGCAGCTGCTTTCGCAGGCGGCGTCAAACGGAACGGGCGGGCCGCGCGCGAACCTAATTGCCTAACGCGCCAGCAAACAGAAGCTTAAACGGCACCTCAGATCACCGGAAGCGGGTGGATAATCAACTCTCAGGGGCTAAAGGGGGGGTCCTTTCTTATCTGGGGCATGCGGTTCTGTTTCCCCTCCTCTTGATTCTCGAGGTGGACAGGGGCGTCGGGGTGTGTGAAAATGGCAGCTCTGTTTCGGTGCGGCGCCGAGCTCTTCGGAAGTTTTGCCGCTTCGGCCCGCATAGTTCTCCCTTCGCCACGTCGTCGGAAGCGGGGCCGCGCGAGAGCGCCGTCCGTTCGTCAGATGGGAACGCGTCCCAATCCCAGCACAAAATTGGGCCACAATTGACTCCTGTATTACTGCTCTGGGAAGAAGGGTGCGAATGGGCGGGGCATGGGAGGGAGAGCGGGAATGGGCGGGGCCAGCTGACAGCTCCGACCTGGCTAACTTGACCACTGCCTACTCCAATTGCTTCCTCCTCGTACATCCTCCTCCTCCTCCTCCTCCTCCTCCTCCTCCTCCTGCTCGTGTTCATCCCACTCATCTTCCCCCTTGCCTCTCGACTCGTCCTAAAATCAAGACAACGACGACGACCTCTGGCCGGTCCAGTTGTTGTGGAGGCTGAGCCACACAGGAACGGCCGTCACGCTGGCCCCGGAACTTCCTCTCGGCCTGCCCGGCAGAGGACTCCGCCGGAAGGGGGGAGGAGGAGGAGGAGGAGGAGGAGGAGGAGGAGGAGGAGGAGGAGGAGGAGGAGGGGGGATACTAGGACGGAGCAAGAGGTCGAGCAGGAGAGACGTGCTGATGATGATGATGATGATGATGATGATGATGATGATGATGATGATGATGCTGATGATAACGATGCTGATGATAATTGATGACGTTGATGCTGATAAGCATTGATGATGCTGATGATGATGCTGCTAATGATGATGATGATGATGATGATGATGATGATGATGATGATGATGATGATGATGATGATGATGATAGTGATGATGGTGATGGTGATGGCGATGGCGATGACGACTATGATGATCATGATGATGATGATGATGATGATGATGATGATGATGATGATGATGATGATGATGATGATGATGATGATGATGATGATGATGATGATGATGATGAGACGACGACGACGCCTACGGCTGCAACGCGCGATGCGGAGCTGGGCAATCCTCCACACGCCTCTAGCGGCGTGCGCTCGAGTGCCGCCGCTGACAGGGCGGCGCAGCTGGCAGAGCGAAGAGGCGCAAAACGATCGGGCAGCCTCAGCGAAGCCCAATCCGAGCACACTCGAACCTCCATGTCCAGCAGGGCCGAGCGCCCCGGAATGCGCTCGCTCACCACTCCCTCGGGGGTGTGGCCCTATGGCCCTGGCGAGCCCCAGCCACGAATGCCAATCGGTCGGAAGAGGTGGGTAGATACATGAAGTAGTAATGAACTGCACATATATTGGTTTTCCGACCACCCCCTGAAGAGAGATAACCGCTGGACTCTTGAAATAGGACCACCCCCTGAACAGGGATAACTGCTGGACTCTTGAAAGAGGACCACTGTTAGGACCACCCACTGAAGAGGGATAACCGCTGGACTCTTGAAATAGGACCACCCCCTGAACAGGGATAACTGCTGGACTCTTGAAATCTGACCACTGTTAGGACCAACCCCTGAAGAGGGATAACCGCTGGACTCTTGAAATAAGAAGGCGACTCAAATAGACTGGGACCTGCGAGCCCAAAAATACAGACTTTGAACTACCAATTGGTGGATTCTCTGACCCACATCCTGGGGAAGCCAAAATGTACCCATACCGCTACTCTCTGGACCTATCCTGAGGTGCGTTATGGACAAGATTTCTGGGCGAACCAAACCGTGGCGAAGAGGGCCTCCCGGGAGGCCCAAGAAGGCGAAACCGAGGCAAGGGTGGCGGTAGCAATACCTTTCCCTCCTCTCGGGTCCGAGCCTCTCCTGAGCCCAAAGTGGTCCATTTTCCAGCGCCTTTGACCGCCTGGAGGCCTCCCACATGGGGTCCGAGTGGAGGCGACCTGGGGACCGCGCCGCATCGACAATGCGTCGGCGATTCGCCAGAGGCGTCGGCAGTGTATCGGTGCCAAAAGGCGTGGATCAGTCGGATTCCACATCCAGCCGCATCGGATGCCTCGGCGATGCGGCTCGATGTGCAGCCCGTCTGACCCACGCCTGCGGCGCCGAGGCATCGGCGGTGCGGCGCGATGCTGCGGCCCCAGTTGCTCGGACCCGCTTTGCGAGGTCTGGACTGCTGCAAGTGCGGTGGGCGCCGCGCGCGGCACACGCGGAGACCACACGCTGTCCACGTGGTGGTGTTCCCCTCCCGTCTAGGGGGGGAGAGATGCAAAGTTCCCCCAACTCTTCCCCGGGAACAGAGGCGGAAGGGGGGGGGTCCCTCCCTGGAAACCGGAACGGGGGAATCTGACAGGGTGGTGGTGGGGGGGGCGATTCGAACTGGCGCTAATCGAATCCCGCCACGAGGGCTGGATCCAGCTCCAATGAAATCCTACTCAGGCTCAATCGAGGTCCAATAAAATTTCTATAGATGCTAGGTCCAACTCTAATAAATCCCACTCGGACTGGAAGCAGTTTGAATGGAATCCGACAAAGGCTCGATCCAGCTCGAATCGAATCGTGCCAAAATGCTAGGCCTGGATCCAGCTCTAATTGAACCCCACTGGGGCTCGAGCCCACTTTAAATACAATTATGATGTGGGGTGGATCCAGCTCTAGGAGGATCCTACTATGGTCAAGATGCAGCTCAAATAGAACCCTATCAGAACTTGATCCAGCCTGAATGCATCTCTACTGGGGCCCGAGTTCACCACCACGACCGCATCGCAACCTCTACGCAGAGCGGACTGGGCAGCGGCTCGCTCGTTGCGCAAGGCCTGCGCCTCGAGATCAAGCCGCGTTATGTAGCTGACGCAACACATTGTCGACTACAATCAAACATATCACAGTGACGGGGGATATTGTCAAGAGCTGCAGCGACTCCCTGAGAAGATCCGCCTTGGCACACTGGCCACCATGTCGCTCATCAACAGCAAGAGTGAGGAAGATATCACCCTGATGACGAAGATTCAGACAGCATTCAGCCATGGTTTCAAGAATCCGATGCTCAAACCAAGCGCGACGACCCAGACGGGGTTGGAAACAGCAAAGCGCTGTCTGCAGGCTGCAGGAACAGCGATAGGCAACATCGTGGAGCCCAGTAAAGCCATCATCGCTGAGTGTATCCAATCGGCAGAGTCTCGTGCGACTGCGGACGGAACGGGCCGCATGTCCAGCAAAAGTACGGTGCCTGCGAGTTAGCTGCCCCTCTGCAAACACGACGTAGGAAGGGTGCCCCCCCAAACACGCCGATGCGATGAAGACCGTGCGGCTGACCTGCGAGTGGGGCAGCAGCGTCTTCGCAAGAGTCGCCTTTTCTGCTCCGAAACTCCTCCGCCGCCTGCTGCGCATCGGATTTCATACCCTCGCCTTGCCAGCCAGACTCGAGAGTTCCTCGAGCCCGCCTCAATGACATCACCATGCGCTGCAGCAGCCGCTTCGCCAGCCCGGCCGCCCACGCGGACCGCCCGCCCCGCCGGAGCACCACGCAGGCGCCGAGCAGCAGGCAGGCGCAGCCGACCCCGAAGAGGGCACGCTCGACGTCCGCCACTGGGGTAAGCAGCTCCATGCCCGACCGGGGTGGGCGTTCCCCGAGGTCCTCGCGTCGTGGACAAAGACACAGAGGCAACCTTCGGCGATCACTCACCTGGCCTCGGGACCGTCAAACCACACACGCGGGCTGAAAAGCAGTTCTCGGGGAAGGGATCGAGGCGTCTGGGTGTCCACGTTGTGAACATTTCCGCGACGTCGGGGCTCTGGACTGGGGCTCGGCGTGGTCCTCTGGGGGCACGGCACCAGCGGAGAGCGCCCTGCTGCGCAGCGGCATGAGGCAGAGCTTCAGCGGGGGGTTCGAGTGAGTTGACGGTCCTGCTCACTAATCGTGCGTCGCTCTCTCCTGGTGTTACTGAAGTCGGTTCAGCCACCTCAGGGCCCAGCAGGCAATGTAGAAGCGTCGTGCTGGCGACTCCCCTGGAGGCCCTAGGCACGCTGGTGGTGCAAGTGGGCCGTCCCGCACATATTGCCGCGTCACCCTACCCCCGTGCCGCTGGGACGCTCTATGACAGAGGTTGGGGAATGAGACCGACATGAAACGGAGCCGCCCAACTGTGAATCCCACCAGCCCTTTGGGCGTGAGTGGTTTAGAGAGCCCGCTCTGTCCTCAACCCCCCTTCTTCCCCTTCGGGGAGGGGTTTACCCCTCCCCCTACCCCCTCCCCCTGGGCCTGGAGAGGGACCCCCGCGGGTGGTCAGAGGGGTCTTTTTCGACTCCTGGGAGGGCCAAAAAACGACGACCCTCACGAGGATTCTGGCCCCGACGGGGGGAGGGAGTTTGGCCCCTCTGCTCGTCTTTGAAAAATCATTGATTGTACTACGGTTTTGGCCCCATTTGGGCGTCCTGAGAGGGCCAAGCTCATCTTCCTTCATAGCAAAATCATTAATTTTACGAAGGTTTTGGCATCATTTTGTCCTTCTCAGGGGGCAGCGCTCCTTTGCGCTTCTGAGGAGGTCGCAAGAGGCCCCAAGATGGCCCCAAGAGGCCCCCCGGAGCCTCCCATGAGGCATCCAAGAGGCCCCCAAGAGGCCCCCAAGAGGCTCCAAGAGGCCCCCAAGAGGCCCCCAAGAGGCTCCCAAGAGGCCCCCAGAGGCCCCACGAGGCCCCCAAGAGGCCCCCAAGAGGCCCCCAAGAGGCCCCCAAGAGGCCCCAAGAGGCTCCAAGAGGCCCCCAAGAGGCCCCACGAGGAGCCCGAACGACTCACACCAGGACGAGGGGCCCGAACGACTCACACCACGAAGAGCCCGAACGACTCACACCACAAGGAGGGGCCCGAACGACTCACACCAGGACGAGGCGCCCGAACGACTCACACCACGAGGAGCCCGAACGACTCACACCACGACGCGGGCCCCGAACGACTCACACCACGAGGAGCCCGAACGAGTCACACCAGGAGGAGGGGCCCGAACGACTCACACCAGGATGAGGGGCCCGAACAACTCACACACGAGAGAGCCCGAACGACTCACACCAGGACGAGAGCCCGAACGACTCACACCACGAAGAGCCCGAACGACTCACACCAGGAAGAAGGGCCCGAACGACTCACACCAGGACGAGAAACCCCAAACGACTCAAATCACGAGGAGCGCTTTCTCTCCCTCCTCCTCCGCCTCGTCCTTCTCCCGCTCCCCCCACAAGGAGGATGTACAAGGAGGCGGGAGGAAGGAGGAACAGGGGAGATATGCGGGGCCAAGCGGACACACGCCTGAAAAACACGACTGTCGGCATGCTTCGCAAGAGTTGCTGCTGTGAGATGGGCTGGTGGGGATACGCGAAGCGTAAAGAATTCAGCTTCGGTTCCGATTCGTGTCGCGCGTACTGGCGTGGCGAAGCTACGCGAGTTCCTGTAACAACTATGCCCAGTTCCATACCAAATTGAGTCAATTCCCTGTGCGCCGAGGCGTGCGCGGGATGGTCCTGCAGGTGTCCTGCGGTTGTCCCGCGGTTGTCCCGATTATTGC